AAGGTATCCGGGTGAAGAAGCTGACACACTGGTCTTCGCTCTCGTCAAGATTGTTATCTGAGATGCCGTGATATTCGTCACGCCACAGACGAAAACTGTATGTACACACAGGCAAGAGCAAAGACGCGCGCGCGTGAACTCAAGTATGTAAAAATGCACACACACAAGCAAACACCCTTCTTTCTAATTTCCCCGTTTTTTTTTAAATTCTCGTGTCTCGTCTCTCTCTCTCATCTCATCTCTCTCTCCTTTCCTCTATCTCTCTCTCTCTCTCCTTTCATAATATACTCTTATATATGAGAGTGTCTATATATCTACTATATCTGAGTTTAATATCTATCATCTCTATCTATATATCTTTTAAGTGTAATCTAACTATCTAATAATTTAATATATATCTTTGATGAGTTAATATATATAATGATCAATTGAATCTATTTATATCGTAATTAATTATATTTTATATATTTTGAATTTAATGAGTATTTCACTTAGAGTCTATATCTACTAGAGAATGTAGGGTGCATATATATTTAATTAGAATGATGAATGGTTAAGGTATAAGGAGTATACTTGGTAAGTAATATGATCATCTCATATAGAGATATCTTATATCTCTTATCTATCTACATATATATATATATATATATTAAATCTATATCTCTATATATTCTCTATCTCTCCCTATCATCTAATACTATCTTATATATATATATCTAGCCCTTATATCTATAAACTTGCTATCTACTATTAATCTAACATAATATCTCCATATATTATCACATCATCGTCTACCTTCTAAATTCACATACTCCCATTTCATCTACCTCTCATATCATTTACTATATCTCACTTTATCATTAATCTATCTCTATAAATTTCCACTATTTCTTACGATCCCTACCTCGGTATCTATATATATTTCTAAGGAAATATATATATATAGATAAAATAACATTTATATTATCTAATCCCCTCCCTTTCTCTCTCTATCTCTCTCTCTATCTATCTCTCTTCTACTATATCTTCTCTCTCTCTCTCTCTCTCTCTCTCTCTCTCTCCACTCCCTAAATACATATATATCCTACTCACACCATCACTCTATCATCTCTCTCTCTCTAAAATACCCTCTCCACTCTCTCTCCTTCTCTCTCATCTATCCTATCCTCTCTCTATTCTCTCTCTATCTCTATCTCTCTCTCTATTATAACCTACTCTCTCTCTATACTCACATTCACATCTACAAAACATATTCTCTCTCTCTCTCTCTCTCTCTCTCTCTCTCTCTCTCTCTCTCTCTCTCTCTCTCTCTCTCTCTCTCTCTTTCTCCCCCTGTCTCTCTCTCTCTCTCTCTCTCTACCTCCTGTCTGTCTGTATGTCTCTGTCTCTCTCTCTCCCTCCTGTCTGTATGTCTGTATGTCTCTGTCTCTCTCTCTCCCCTCTCTGTCTCTCTCTCTCCCCTCTCTGTCTCTCTCTCTCCCCTCTCTGTCTCTCTCTCTCCCCTCTCTATCTCTCTCTCTCTCCCTCCCTTTCTCTCTCTCTCTCCCTTCCCCCCCCTCTCTCTCTCTCCCTTCCCCCTCTCACTCTCCATCTCTCTCCCTCCCCCCCCTCTCTCTTCCTTCCCTCTCCCTTTCTCCCTCTCTCACTCCCCCTATCTCTCCCTCTCTCTTCCCCCTTCCCCCCTCTCTCTCTCTTAGCCCCCCCGTTCCCCTTTTCTCTCTCTTTCTCTCCCTTCCCTTTCTTCCCTCCCCCCCCCCATCTCTCTCTCTCTCTCTCTCTTCTTCTCTCTCGCTCTGTTTCTCTCTTTCTTCTCTCCTCCCTCCCTCTCCCTCCTTCCCTCCCTCCCTCCCTCCCTCTCTCTCTCTCTCTCTCTCTCTCTCTCTCTCTCTCTCTCTCTCTCTCTCTCTCCCTCCCTCCCTTCCCCCCTCTCTCTCTCTTAGCCCCCCCGTTCCCCTTTTCTCTCTCTTTCTCTCCCTTCCCTTTCTTCCCTCCCCCCCCATCTCTCTCTCTCTCTCTCTCTTCTTCTCTCTCGCTCTGTTTCTCTCTTTCTTCTCTCCTCCCTCCCTCTCCCTCCTTCCCTCCCTCCCTCCCTCCCTCTCTCTCTCTCTCTCTCTCTCTCTCTCTCTCTCTCTCTCTCTCTCTCTCTCTCTCTCTCTTCTTCTTCTCTCTCTCTTCTTCTTCTCTCTCTCTTCTCTCCTCCCTCCTTCTCCTTCCCTCCATCCCTCCCTCCCTCTCTCTCTCTATCTCTCCCTCCCTCCCTCCCTCCTTCCCTCCCTCCCCCTCTCTCTCTCTCTCTCTTTCTCTCTCTCTCTCTCTCTTTCTCTTTCTCTCTCTCTCTCTCTCTCTCTCTCTCTCTCTCTCTCTCTCTCTCTCTCTCTCTCTCCCTCCCTCTCTCTCCCTCCCTCGCTCGCTCTATCTCTCCCTCTCTCTCTCTCTCTCTCTCTCTCTCTCTCTCTCTCTCTCTCTCTCTCTCTCTCTCTCTCTCTCCCTCGCTCTCTCTCTCTCTCTCTCTCCCTCGCTCTCTCTCCCTCTCTCTCTCTTTCTCTCTCTCTCTCTCTCTCTTTCTCTCTCTCTCTCTCTCCCTCGGCCTCTCTCTCTCTCTCTCTCCCTCGCTCTCTCTCTCTCTCTCTCTCTCTCTCTCTCTCTCTCTCTCTCTCTCTCTCTCTCTCCCTCGCTCTCTCTCTCTCTCTCTCTCTCTCTCTCTCTCTCTCTCCCTCGCTCTCTCTCTCTCTCTCTCTCTCTCTCTCTCTCTCTCTCTCTCTCTCTCTCTCTCTCTCTCTCTCTCTCTCTCTCTCCCTCGGCCTCTCCTAGTTTTTAAGTTGTAAATAAAAATATTTACCAGATTTAGTAACTTTCACAATCACAAATAAATAAATGAATATGAAAAGTATTATGGTTTATAAGGCTATTTTAGAGTGACCTTGAGAAGTACATTGGTGAGTAATTGTGATTGTTGCCAGATACAAGTTATTTTGTTCTGTCACTGTGGTAAAAATAATGGTTAATGGTTGACGGTTTATGGTTGATGGTTGATGGTTAATGGTTAATGTTAATCGGTACTGATAATGAGGTGGGGTAACGGGAGAAGGCAGATGTAAGAGTAATGTACAGTGCTAATTGTTATCAGATTTGTGCTGCCTCGTTCTGTCAATATTGTGGTAATAATGATTACCTATGTGGTTCGGTTGTGTTGGTGGTGGTGTTGATGTTGGTGTTGGTGGTGGTGATGGCGTTGATGTTGATGTTGATGGTGTTGGTGGTGGTGGTGTTGTTTGGTGGTGGTGGTAAGTAATGGTAGAGGAAGAGTAAGTAGAAGAGAAAGATAATAATGACTGCTGCTGAACAAAACCAGTCATTTCCGACCTCCTTCAACCACCTACCTGAATACCGACACTTCCTCATTCTTCCTGAATGCTAATTTCAAAACGGAAATTTGCGATACTCTGTAAACCAATCCTACCACTTTAAAAGAAAAAAAATAAAGGAAACTAAGTCAACAGAAATTTCAACAATACCCAATCTAACCTCGCCAATACAATAAACAGTTCAAACAACACTTAGCATAACTACCATTACAGTTCTGATATAACAAATATTTCTGCTCTACGCTCCATCCATCAGAACTTCGCTTAGTATCTGCCTAATAAACTCCACGGGTGACTAGCATCAGTCACAAACACGCTTCGAAAATAATCGAGTAATATTAGCGAGCACATTAAGCCAATTAAACTCGACAATTTTACAGCTCGAAATGACCGTTGCGATTTCATCCGATTGAGACTGAACATTCTTCCGTTGGAAAATACGTGTATACACTTGTAAAGAGATACTTACACATATAAACTTTCGTGCGTGTAGTTCGATATACAACGTTGCATACATTTACACATTTTTTTTATATATCCTCAGGTACTGACACAAACAATCATACACAAACAAACACACGTATATGTACACGAACACCTCTACACACACACACACACACACACACACACACACACACACACACACACACACACACACACACACACACACACACACACACGCAAACACACACACACACACACACACACGCAAACACACACACACACACACACGCATGCATGCACACACACACACACACACGCACACACACACACACACACACACACACACACACACACACACACACACAAATGAAGGAAATAACAACTGTGACTTGATCGATAAGGTAATGTTTGGGGAAGCAGGCCTACACTACACTGCTGACCGCCTTAACGTTCAACATAACCTTTTCTTTCTGTTTGTGTTCAAAAGCTCACGCGATAAAGGACTATTGAAATTACAATTTTCGACGTTACGTTTGTGCAAAAAATAAATATATGTGCATAGAGTAACACACAATTCTCTTTATCATTCAAAGAACATTCTACTGCCCCAAGGATAAGTATTCCATGCCTTACTTCATATCCAGGTTCCAAAGCACAACCAATAATATCAATAATTATAGTAATAATAATAAAAAAACAAGAATTCCCTTCTTATTTACTTCTAACCGGCTACCTATGTCAGTGCTGAACGTAAAACGCGTTATCACAGGAAGCAGATAAGTCACACCAGCTGTACGAACATGTGCACACACTCCTCTCCCATTCTCCGAGACTAAGGGACAAGTACGCTTAGTATATCATGCATAACTGTGTGAAATATACGTGTTTGAGGGGGCAAGTAGGTCCCGAAGATGTGGTTGGACTTTCCACTAGGCGTTGCCAGTTCTACGTGCGGGGAAAATTATATAAAAGGGATTCTGTACTTCAGGGGGAGTCATAGACACGATAGGGACGAGGCTCCTCTTTCGTGCTGGCTAATACCGAGATCTAAATATCGAAAACGTCCAGATAAAGACGGATAGAAAAGACAGAGCACCGATAATCCACTGTTCTTCCGCCTCTGCTCGCCCGAAGCGCCGAGTCTCCCCCTCATCGCCTAGAAAAGTGTTTGAAAAAAGTCCTCTTCCTCACCTGCTTTGCCCGCGTCGAGCCTTGCTTTCGGCGCACACATAAAGAGCCAAATCCCGCTCGCGTCCGAAGCACACACGTCCTGCTGACCCGAGACACAAGAGAGAAGTAGTAGTAGGAACACGAACACTGCCTTCGCTAAAAGAGCAGCAGCTAACACGGCCGACACCCACCCACACCCTCACACTCTGAAGCAATGCACAGAGATATTCCCGTCAGCACAATATGGCGCGAGAGGGAGC